CCATCCCCCACATCCCATCCCCCCCCCATATGTCATCCCCATATCCCACCCCCCATATCCCATCTCCCATCCCCCAATATCCCATCCCCCATCCCCCACATCCCATCCCCCATATCCCATCCCCCATCCCCCACATCCCATCCCCCCCATATCCCATCCCCCCATATCCCATCCCCCATCCCCAATATCCCATCCCCCATCCCCCACACCCCATCCCCCCCATATCCCGCCCCCCATCCCCCCCCCCCCCCCCCGCCCACCCCTCCCCCATACCGAGCAGTCCCTTGGGGCCGCTGCCCAGGGCAGAGTCATCCCGGCTGCGGGCTCCGGGCCCTCGGCCTTGGGGGGGGGCTCTGGGGGTCCCCCTCGGTGGGGGGCGGGGGGGGGCCCGGGGGGGCCTCAGAACCTTCTCGAGCTCCTCCATGAGCTTGAGCTGATGGCGCCGCTCCTGCTCCTGGCGCGTGAACCCCCCCCGGCGGCACCCGGGGGGCGGCGACGCCGGCCTGGGGGGCACCCAAATGGGGGGGGGGGTGGGGGTTGGATTGGGGGGGGCACCCAATGGGTGCCCTCCCGATTGGGTGCCCTACATTGGGTGGTTCCGTGGGGGGGGACATCCAATGGGTGCCCTATGTTGGGTGGTCTACATTGGGGTCCCCCCTGTTGGGTGGCTCCATGGGGGGGGGACACAATGGGTGCCCTATTTTGGGTGGTCTACATTGGGTGGCTCCATGGGGGGGGACACCCAATGGGTGCCCTATGTTGGGTGTCCCCCCTATTGGGTGCCCTACATTGGGTGGCTCCATGCAATGGGTGCCCTACTGGGGGTCCCCCCATTGGGTGGCTCCATGGGGGGGGATGCAATGGGTGCCCTATGTTGGGTGTTCTACATTGGGGTCCCCCCTATTGGGTGGCTCCATGGGGGGGGGGGACATCCAATGGGTGCCCTATGTTGGGTGGTCTACATTGGGTGGCTCCATGGGGGGGGACATCCCATGGGTGCCCTATGTTGGGTGCCCCAATGGGTGCCCTATGTTGGGTGCCCTACATTGGGTGTCCCCATGGCCCCATGGGGAGGGCCCCAATGGGTGCCCCATGTTGGGTGGTCTACATTGGGTGGCTCCATGGTGGGGGGACACCCAATGGGTGCCCTATGTTGGGTGTCCCCCCTATTGGGTGCCCTACATTGGGTGGCTCCATGGTGGGTGCTCCTACACTGGGGGTCCCCCCTATTGGGTGGCCCCATGGGGAGGGCCCCAATGGGTGCCCTATGTTGGGTGCCCTACATTGGGTGGCTCCATGGGGGGGGACATCCAATGGGTGCCCTATGTTGGGTGGTCTACATTGGGTGGCTCCATGGGGGGGGACATCCAATGGGTGCCCTATGTTGGGTGCCCTACATTGGGTGGCTCCATGGTGGGGGGACACCCAATGGGTGCCCTATGTTGGGTGGTCTACATTGGGTGGCTCCATGGGGTGGGGGACATCCAATGGGTGCCCTATGTTGGGTGTTCTACATTGGAGGTCCCCCCTATTGCGTGTCCCCATGGTGGGTGCTCCTACATTGGGGGTCCCCCCTATTGGGTGGCTCCATGGGGGGGGACATCCAATGGGTGCCCTATGTTGGGTGTCCCCCCTATTGGGTGGTTCCATGGGGGGGGACATCCAATGGGTGCCCTATGTTGGGTGGTCTACATTGGGTGGCTCCATGGGGGGGGGACATCCAATGGGTGCCCTATGTTGGGTGTCCCCCCTATTGGGTGGTTCCATGGGGGGGGACATCCAATGGGTGCCCTATGTTGGGTGGTCTACATTGGGGTCCCCCCTGTTGGGTGGCTCCCCCAATGGGTGCCCTATTTTGGGTGGTCTACATTGGGTGGCTCCATGGGGGGGGACATCCAATGGGTGCCCTATGTTGGGTGTTCTACATTGGGGGTCCCCCCTATTGGGTGGCCCCATGGGAAGGGCCCCAATGGGTGCCCTATGTTGGGTGGTCTACATTGGGTGGCTCCATGGGGGGGGACATCCAATGGGTGCCCTATGTTGGGTGGTCTACATTGGGTGGCTCCATGGGGGGGGACATCCAATGGGTGCCCTATGTTGGGTGCCCCAATGGGTGCCCTATGTTGGGTGTTCTACATTGGGGGTCCCCCCTATTGGGTGGCCCCATGGGGAGGGCCCCAATGGGTGCCCCATGTTGGGTGGTCTACATTGGGTGGCTCACATTGGGGGGGGCCCCATTATTGGTGTCCCCCATATTGGGTGCCCCACATTGGGGGTCCCCCCTATTGGGTGGCCCCATTGGGTGACCCCATTATTGGGTGCCCTATGGTGGGTGGTCTACATTGGGTGGCTCCATGGGGGGGACCCCACATTGGGTGTCCCACATTGGGTGCCCCATGTTGGGTGCCCCATGTTGGGTGTCCCCACATTGGCTGCCCCACATTGGCGTCCCCACATTGGCTGCTGCATTATTGGTGTCCCCATGGTGGCTGCCCTATGTTGGGTGTCCCATCTTGGTTGTTCCCATGTTGGGTGCCCCCATATTGGGTGCCCCATGGTGGGTGCCTTAATTTGGGTGTCCCACATTGGCTGCCCCACATTGGGTGTCCCACATTGGCTGCCCCACATTGGCTGCCCCATTATTGGTGTTCCCACATTGGCTGCCCCACATTGGCTGCCCCACATTGGGTGTCCCCACATTGGCTGCCCCACATTGGGTGTCCCCATGGTGGGTGCCCCACATTGGCTGCCCCACATTGGGTGTCCCCACATTGGGTGCCCCACATTGGGTGCCCCATTATTGGTGTTCCCACATTGGCTGCCCCACATTGGCTGCCCCACATTGGGTGTCCCCACATTGGCTGCCCCACATTGGGTGCCCCATTATTGGTGTCCCCATGGTGGGTGTCCCACATTGGCTGCCCCACATTGGGTGCCCCATGTTGGGTGTCCCCACATTGGCTGCTCCATATTGGCTGCCCCATTATTGGTGTTCCCACATTGGGTGCCCCACATTGGGTGCCCCATTATTGGTGTCCCCATGGTGGCTGCCCCACATTGGCTGCCCCACATTGGGTGTCCCACATTGGCTGCCCCACATTGGCTGCCCCACATTGGCTGCGTCCTCACCTGTCCCCGCTGTCCCCGGGGGGCTCCTGCGCTGTCCCCATCCAGTGCCTCCGGTGCCGGCTCTGGTCCAGGGGCTCCAATGGGTGCTGAGGCCCCAAAGTGACCCAGCACCCAGTGACCCCCAGCACCTCGACCCGCAGCACCCCTGACCCGGGGCACCCTGAGAGACACAGACCTGAGCCAGGACCCACGGGACCCACAGCACCCATTGACCACAGCACCCAGTGACCCACAGCACCCATCGAGCCACAGCACCCATTGACCACAGCACCCAGTGACCCGCAGCACCCACTGGCCCACAGCACCCATCGACCCGCAGCACCCATCGACCCACAGCACCCATCGACCCACAGCACCCATCGACCACAGCACCCACTGACCCACAGCACCCAGTGACCCACAGCACCCATTGACCACAGCACCCACTGACCACAGCACCCAGTGACCACAGCACCCAGTGACCCACAGCACCCAGTGACCCACAGCACCCAGTGACCCACAGCACCCAGTGACCACAGCACCCAGTGACGACAGCACCCAGTGACCACAGCACCCATTGACCCACAGCACCCACTGGCCCACAGCACCCATCGACCCGCAGCACCCATTGACCACAGCACCCATTGACCCACAGCACCCATTGACCACAGCACCCACAGCACCCAGTGACCACAGCACCCAGTGACCCACAGCACACGACCCACAGCACCCTTCGACCCACAGCACCCATCGACCCACAGCACCCAGTGACCACAGCACCCAGTGACCCACAGCACCCATCGACCCGCAGCACCCATCGACCACAGCACCCATCGACCACAGCACCCATTGACCACAGCACCCACTGACCCACAGCACCCAGTGACCCACAGCACCCAGTGACCCACAGCACACGACCCACAGCACCCAGTGACCCACAGCACCCATTGACCCGCAGCACCCATTGACCACAGCACCCATTGACCCACAGCACCCATGGAGCCACAGCACCCATGGACCACAGCACCCATTGACCCACAGCACCCAGTGACCCACAGCACCCTGTGACCACAGCACCCATTGACCCACAGCACCCTTCGACCACAGCACCCATCGACCACAGCACCCATTGACCACAGCACCCACTGACCCACAGCACCCAGTGACCCACAGCACACGACCCACAGCACCCATCGACCCACAGCACCCACTGGCCCACAGCACCCATCGACCCACAGCACCCATCGATCCACAGCACCCAGTTCCTTCACACCCATCATCCCCATCACAATCCCATCGCCTCCATTGTCCCCAATGGCACCAACCTCCATCATCCATCCATCACCCATC